AGTGGCTTAAAAAAAGGTTTGGGGTCTTCTAACACCTGTTTGCTTCACTTAAGAGTTAGTGTGGAGTGGGTTGAACCCTGTATGAATAGGGTTGGGCTTAAACTTCTGCTCATCTACAAAGTCATTGTGTTACTTTGGACCAGTCATTATCTCTCACCCTTATGTACTTCCAAAGGTGTGTTGTGAGGATAAAATTGGGGTACGTAGGCAAACACTGTCCTGAGCTTATTGGATTTTTTAAAAAACTTTTCAATGAAAAATAATAATTTAGCAAGTCTGTGCCTTGTACACAATTCACGAGCTTGCCTTGCTTCATTGCCAAGCCAGAACTCCATCCATGCTGCTCTTGGACGTTCACACCACATGCAAATTATCTCTTGTGAACAAGTGACCCCTATTGTTCCTGTAGACCTTTAGGTACATGGGATATAGTAAGGTAGATGATGGTTATTATTATTTCTATATTTTTGGTTATTATTTGCCCCCCTACAAAAATGTATACAAAGTAGTGTGCGTATATGCTTTTTAATACAAACACTATAATCACTATTAAAAAGTAGCCAGTAAAAAGAGCAGCAACTTTATAAAGGCAGCTAAAACAGTATAAAATTACAAGCCAAATATTTGTCTTAATAAATGTTAATATGTCTAAAAGCAGGTAGAGAGGGAAGCCTGTTAGAGATCTAGAGAGGATATTCCATACTTTTGGTGCCATCAATACATTTTCAAAACCCACCTTTTGTGGTCTTTCTTCTTCTTCTTCTTCTTCTTCTTCTTCTTCTTCTTCTTTATTTAACTACATTTATATACTGCTTGATTGTAAAACTGGAACTGGAACTTGCTTGGCTCTTTACTTTTAATGTCTGCCTTGGCTTTTCCATGAACACCATTTCCTCCATGATTATTCAGCTCCTTGCAAAGTATTTACTGCAGTTTTGTATTCTGATGTTCCCTTGTCTCATGAGCCCACTTCAGGCCTGGACCTAGATCATAGAATTGCAGTTTTATGTTTGTATACAGTGGTGCTTTTACTATAACAATAAGAATGTATTTCTTCAGTGTATTAATTAGAACTTGAAATAGAAACGAAACAGCTTTGTTCAAAAGAGATTGGGTGACTGTTTGTAAACTTTTAATAATACTAATATCTCTTTCTAAGCAGGAATTGCCATCATTCTGGAATAGACCTTCATAGATGTGTTTGCCTTTGGTAAGCAGGACATCCAACTGTGCTCAGATGCCCTTTCTTGAGCAAATTTTCCTCTGTGTGAATTGCAGAGAATTTGAGAGGTTTATTGCATTGCTGTAAAGTCTGAAGCTGGCAGAAGCTTATGCCTGTTCTGAAGCTCAATATGATAAACCTCTTTAACACAGAAGAGGAGCTATGCTGAGATTTTGGAGTAGATAAAAGCAGCCTGAGTGATTCATACTGCTGCTGTGCTCCAAAGTGCAGTACTGTGTGAAGACAATCCTGGTCCCAGCCCAGCCTGATCTTATTAGAGGACTCCATGGTTGTGTGAGAGAGCCATTGGAGCAGCTGGAGAAGGAAGTGGTCCCTCCTGGCAGCTTCTTCAGGAGCTTTGGCCACCCATTGCAATCGTATGAACTTTTTGACCTCAGCCGTTCTCAATGCCAGTCAGTGGGGACCTGCCTCAGTTTGATAACTGCTGCCCTAGTTAGGATCTTTCATTATGTCCAGTGTTAAACTCTCAAAGCCTTTGGAATATGGATCCAGTTACCGTATTTTTCGCCCTATAGGATGCACTTTTCCCCCTCCAAAAATGAAGGGGAAATGTGGGTGCGTCCTATGGGGCAAATACAGGCTTTCGCTGAAGCCTGGAGAGCGAGAGGCTCTCGCTCTCCAGGCTTCTGGAAGCTCTGCGCGACCCTCCGGAGCCCGGCGCGAAGCCGCAACGCCTCCGGAGGGTCGCGCAGAACTGCCTGCCCTCCCGGGGTCCGCGCAGCTGTGCGCGACCCTCCGGAGTCTGGCGTCAAGCCGCACCAGCCTCCGGAGGGTCGCACAGAGCTGCCTGCCCTCCCGGGGTCCATTCTGGGGGCTGGGGGAGGCTGGCTCCCTCCCCAGCCGTGAGCTGCCAGAGCGATGCGGCTGCGCGCAGCTCCGCACGCTCTGGGACCCGTCTGGCTGTTCTGGGGCAGCTCGGCTCCCGCCCAGCCCGCGCCTGGGGGAAATATATATTTTTTCTTTATCCCCCCCCCAAAAAAAAAACTAGGTGTGTCCTATAGGGCGGTGCGTCCTATGGGGCGAAAAATACGGTAACCCATATGCTCTTTAGAAAACCAACACCTTTCAATTGGTCACATATTCTGATAATATCCTTTCATCAGACCTCTGACGGCAGCAGTGCTTGGTTACTAGGTCAGCTTTCTTATCAAAGGATAGGACTGTCATACAGATGTTTGGGTTCATGTACATCTTTCTACTGCATTCTTTCTCTGGCCAACTTGTGACCAAAGCTATGTCAGGATGTTCCTCCCCAGAAGTGGGAAAACAGTTATGTCATACAGAGAAATAATAAAGTGACTGTGTCCTTCAGACTGGATTTCACAATTGCATTGCAGCTAAGCTTGGAAGTGCCCTAAATAATTTAACATTTCTAGTGTAATACTAGTGTTATTAGTCAGAAGTATTTTTCTTTATATTTAGCTAGTTGTAACGTAATGAAAAGTTGGTTTTTTGCTATGTGCACAAAGTTGAATGAGCCATATGCTTGTACTGTATGGTTCCTCCTTTGTCCTCAAGAGGTTAATATCAAAACCTTCCATTTCTTTTAAAGCAACAGTTCCCTGATAAAGTATGAACTTTGAAAATGTGGATTTCACAACTGTAATGCAACTAAGCTTGGAACTTCTCCCACATGTTTCAGAGAAACCTGATCTCTAGGGAGCAGAGCTCTTAGCAGGTGCTACTAATGGTTTAAGTAATACCATTAGATTTTCTAGGGAGGTACAGGGATTGTGTTCCAATATGAGAGATAGGAAGTACCTCCCTAACATAGATGTTTATGGGGCAGATAAGGTTTAACTGCTATCCATGATTGGTTTCACATCTCCACATCAAAAATAATCTTTGGACAGCCTCTCTAGTCTGCTTTTTGGGGGGGGTCAGAATCCCAATATGGAAGGCCAATTTATTTCTTAGAATTTAATGGAACTTTTATTTGATCCCTTAGAAGACTTCAAAACAGTGCTGCTGACTTCATCTTTGTGGGTGCTGTCAACCGAAAAGCTACATATTTTGCATGCAGAGTAGGTATCCTTCACTCCAATCTGCAGTTTAGTCCCAAAATGTGTTTCCAGTTAATTTTGCCCTTGCACACCCACTCCTCTGGAGCAGGAGTGGCACACATGTAGATGTTTGAAAGATGCTCTGGTTGTTTTGGGCCCATGGACACATTTGGAATCTTGAAATAATGCTGTGGGCACTGTGCCCTCTTATATTTTCCCATTCCCTCTGAGTCACTTATGCTCCCCCCATGACAAAATAATTATAATTTTTCACTGACTGAGTCCCCCCAAGGAGATTCTGATTAAACGTTAATAAGAACTTTCTGACAGTAAGAGCTGTTCAGCAGTGGAACAGATTCCCATGAGAGGTGGTGGACTCTCCTTCCTTGGAGGATTTTATGCAGAGATTGGGTGGCCATCTGTCATCCATGATCGAGATTGATGCACTGTAGGGGATTGGACTAGATGACCCTTTGAGTCCCTTTTAGCTCTACAATTCTATGAGTTCATGAAAGCTTGCATTGGTTAAAGTAAAGAAATTCCAGAACTAGGATTTAACTGGACCACAAAAATATTTGATCCATGACAAGGTTGACAACAAAATCACCATCAAATCACATAACACATCTGTGGATACAGAAATGTCTTGGAACCTGGTGGTGGCTTTCAGGGGATCCTTTGTAGAAATTAGGAGCTTCAATAAAGATCCATGCCTTGGATCCAAATTTTTGAATAATGGCAGCACGTGAAAAGGTCATATCCACATTTCTAACTGTTCATTCAACTGAGATGGATGTGATCTATGGCTTGGTGGATCTTGGTTGGGGGGACCTTGTGAAAAAAATACAATTTTTTGAAGAGGATCCTACTGGGGAACCTTTTTTCTTCTTTTTGTACTACATTCTCACTTCTGATTCCTGTGAACCCTCCTTCTTCCCCCTGGCTTCTCTGCCTTCCCAACTTCAAGATCTTACCCCTTTCTGTCTTACCCTCACAGTTGCCCCCATCTCCATGAAGCTACTCAGGGACAGGTCTGTGCCTTGAAAAGCATATAGAGCTGAAAGAAGTACTTTTCAAAAGGGGGTTGATGGTGGTAAGCAAGGGGGTGCTTAGAAGCTTTGTGGGTATGAGAGTCTTCAAGGGCACCATTGTGCCTACAGGTGCCATGTTGATGACTCCAGGACTCTACTGACAGACCTAAGACCCTCTGTCATCAGAGCTGCCTCTTTGACTTTTTTTTTTAATGTCAAGGTCTGTGTTTTCATATTGTAAATTGCCCTGTGGTTCTTGGATGAAGGGCATTATAGAAATGTTAATGTTACTACTACTACTACTACTACTACTACTAGGGTTTCTGTATCTTAGCTAGATGGCTTTTGGAATGCAGAGCTACCAATCTATCTCCTGAGGTTATCCAAGCATATTTTATTGGGGAAGCTTCCATTGCTTTAGCTTTCTGAGAAAGCTTCTCTAGCAGACATTTGCAGAGTAGCCCACTTCATCCTCTGTTAATTCCTTCGTGGGACATCTTCACATCCTCAGAGGATACTTTTGGGAGAATAGTGCTCTAGAGAGTGTTACAGCTGTTTCAGCTCTTAAGGAGATGGTTGGCTTTGGTATCTGCCCAGGAATACACTGATTTTAAAGATGGCCATTCTCTCTCAAGGGAAAAGCAGAATAATATAATCATAGAATTGTAGAGTTTGAAGGGACTACAAGGGTCATCTAGTTCAACTGCCTGCAATGCAGGTATCTTTTGCCCAACATGGGGCTCGAACTTACGACTCTGAGATTGAGTCTCATGCTCTCCCGACTGAGCTATAATTCTTCACTTAACTCTTAAGTCTAAATTGGGGGAAGGGAAACAGTAGGTCTAGGTGCATTGTTGCTTGTAAATGGGACAGATTCTGTTCTCTGCTCTCAGTTCTCCAGCTAGTAGCGTTTTAAGACTAGGTGCATACCACCAATGCTAGACTTATGTCTGTGTTGCATAGCCTTGTTTCCATGCAAATAAATTCTGAGACAGATTGACAGATGATGCAGGTATGTTTCTAATTTTTTGTGGAGATCTGAAGGACACTTCATGGGGATGTGCATGATTCCTGATATAGACACTTCACAAAACAAAACTGGTACTGTTAGCACTGAGCCAGACGTTTTTCATTGTTTCCGTTCTAGGAATGGAACTTTGGTGTATTTGAATAGCTTACTTCTCAAGCAGATTATTAGTGTTGGAACTGCATAGACTACATAAACTTCCTGAAAGGAAACAATTGTAAAATATCCAGGAAATCATTGGGAAATGAGAACTTCTGCTTCTGTTCTGCCTTTTTGTACACAAGGTTTTTCAGACAAACTGTATTGTCTTAGGAAAACAAATCACTGTCACTGATTTCACTTTTTTTCTTTTCTGAATATTGTGAGCTTTGAGCTCTTATAATTCAAACTTTGTAAGCGCTAATGCCTTCTGGAGTAGAGGTTTCATTATGGCATTCAGTGCTCCTGACCAGCTTTTGAGTGAAACTGCTTACATTTTTTGTTTTTTCTGAAAAGCACCAGCAAAATATGTTATTGAGATCTTCAGGGAAATGGAATATCTCCCCCACATCAATAATTTTTGATCACTCAGACTGGAGTTAGCATTGTTTACCCCAGGAAAATATTCATAAGAAATGGAACTGAAACTGAAACTAGGGTAAGTTGAAAGAAGGGGTCACTTAGAGATAACTTCTCGCCCTTTATTGTTTTTTCTTGTAAGGAGTCTCAAAAAGTGACCAATGATGTTTGTAGTATCTTCCCTTTTTCCACAGCAAAAGCTCTTTCTATTTGTTACTCTGTTGGCTTTATAGATCTTTGTGAGTGTGATGCTTTATAAAGTCGCTGTTGCATCAGAATAACTAGCAAACAAGGCTAGAGGGCACAATCACCCATCGCTGTCTCTTGTCATTGCCTCTCCATTGAATTATCCTTCTTGTTGCCATTTGCTTTGTCAAAAAGTTCTACATCCAAGGCAGTTGGTTATTGTTATTTGCTTTGTTCATGTCTTTCTCAGAGGCCAAGGATTGGGTTTTCCTGATTTCATTATGTCTGTCTCCTTTGGGCAAGCAATATATTGACACTCCAAAGGCAGAGCATCTAAAAGAAGAAAAAAATCAGGGCAATTGGCTCAGCAGGTAACAGATGCAGCATGGGAAGTAAGAAGCTCCATCAGGGAGCCTTCAGGCACCTGGTTACACATTTCAGGAAGGCGTGTATGAACCTGTTTGCGTCTCTGTCCAACCACCGAGTCAGCAGGTTCTTCTCCCAATATGTGCATCAAAAGGTGGAAGCAGTCAGTGCTCTATTCTCCCCGTGGTCTCTGAGCCATCTGTATGTGTTTCTGCTGTTTCCTCTGGTGGCCAAAAGAGTAAGGGAATAAAGAGCATCTGTTTTCTTTGTGCCTTCTTTTTTGTTCTTGGAGGCCATAATTTGCCAATTTATTCAATTTGACAGCATCCCCTCCTTGACCTTCATTTCTGAAGATGGCCTTCTGTCTCAGAGACCTATCTTTCACCTGGACCCAGTTTGGTTGAAACTCTCATGGCTGGCATTTGAAAGGAGACACTTCTCTGAGGAAGGGCTCTCTTCTTGGTATTGATGCTGTGTTGCATCTCGTTGTCCTTTGACTGTCAAGCTTCATCAGAGAACATGGAAATAATTTTCTGAATGGTGCTGTCGGCATAAGTTTGTCCTTAGAAGGCATCCTTTCTGCCAGATGGTTTGACTCAAGCCAAACACCTTAAAACTCTTGGCTTCCATTTCACCCTCTTTTACCAAAGGATCTGGACAAACCACTCAGTTCTAATCATTTTCTTTGCTGTTCTCTTCTGGAAGCTGCTCTGAAATCTTCTATCCAACATCACTTTCCATCCTGGGATCTCCACTGCCCTTTGAGCCCCTGAAATCTGCACCTTTTGTGTTTTTCCACCTCTCTCTGAGACTGAAGGTTTTCGTTCCTATCTTGGCTGGTTGGCTTAAAGCCTGTATTTCCTTAGCTTACACCAGTCTGAAATTTCTACTTCCTGGTAAGGTATTTGCTCATACCATCAAAGCAGCAGCTACTTTAGCTGACTTTTGCCTAAATTGCTCCACTGCTGGAAATCTGTAGAATGGCTGCATAGGCTAGGCCCAGTAGGCAATTAATTATTGCAAGATTGACTTGTTTGCCTTGGCTGAAGTGGCATTTAGAAAGCACATATTTCAGCATTTCCCTTCTGTGCATTAGGTAGCGCCAATTTTATACAATTTCCCACCATACATTCTTCAGCTCTGGTGTGGCCTCCTGGATAAGCAAAGACCTGTGGCCTCCTGGATAAGCAAAGACTGTTCTTACCTGTGGAATGGATTTCTGTGTATATCAGCAGATGACCATAGGGCCCTATTCTTTTTTGTGTTGGGGCTGCTGAGTTTATCTTTGGGTATACATGACTTTTTCTGTGTTAATTTCTTTTATTTGTGCACACTGAGAGTTTTTGTACGTAGTATGTTGGCTGTTGCTGTTCTCTGATGTTTTCTTCCTGGCTTGTCATACTTTAAAATTAAGTCAGATAAGGGGAGTGGTTTTTAAAAAACATTGAGAGCAGCAATTTGCCTTCATGTCTCCAACTTGTAGTCACCTGTGTATATGCACAGATATCCCTTTCAAAAGTAAAAATTGGGTCTTTTTAAATTAAACTCTTTGAAAGTTCATTTGAGTTAGTTATTGATAAGCTAGGCATGGAAACTTGAACACCGAATCCTGTCATACTTGTAGTTAAAAACTTGTTGAATTTCAATGTTGTTGAGTCCTTAAGTTTATTTATCCCAAATTCCTAACTTAATGCATATTACTATTCATTGAAAAAATTATGCCCTACATTCCCCCTTCGCTCAAAGTAGCTTACAAATAAAAACCAAATATAAAAGTGCTTATAATCTTATCCTTAAAGCACAAATAAGTAAAACTAAAAATGGCAGCAATCTACACATTAAGCAGCAACAGAATCAAAACAGCACCAGTGTTTAAAAAGGGAAGTTTTCAATTGTTAGTGAAATACAAATTGTGGAAGGGAATTCCACATTCCACTCACTGCATTTCGTACATTGCCACCAACTTTTCATTAGAAGGCAATGGCATATGCAGAAGGGACACAGTAGCCAGGATTAAAGGCAGACAGACTCCCATATGAAGAGATGGTCCTTCAAGTAGCTTCGTTCCAAAGTTTTTAGGGCTTTATAGATAATATGTTATATATGTAATGCTCTTCAGGAATTGCTGTTGCAAAAATACCTTGATTCATTCAGCTGGTTATATTTAGTTATTGACAAGTTGCAGCCCAAATTGCCTGACTGTTGTAGATCTAATGCACAGTTCAAAATAGCACGGCAGGAACAAATTTACTTACCTGTGTGAACGCTGTTGAAAATTGGAACCATTATTTTAATGAAGTTAGCTAGTGATGACTAAGTAGTGGAATGATGTAGTACTGATTTCTTCATGCCATCTCACTTTCCAGCTCTGTCAGGAATTTCTGTCTGGGAAGGAAGGCGTGATTGATGGCACAGCGTTGTTACTAAGAAATGAAAGAGAGCTTGGACTAACAGTGTTATCATCTTGCTAACAAGAGGCATGTCCTCTTCTGCAAAATTCCTGCAGACTATCTGTCCATAGACTGGTGTGTCATGATCACGTATGTAGGCTTTTCACCTGAATGCATCCAGTTTTCACATGTTGAGGACCTTCTGTTAATTAAAGGTTCCCAGTCTCCGTTATGGATTAAAAACAGTCATTCTTCTGGTGTACTCACAAGATGTCTATTCCTTCATGAAAGTGTCTCATGTATAAATGTTTTATAAACCTGAACTGCTCTTAGCCTAGTATGATATACTGGTATATCTGCTTCTTTAAATAAAGATAGGAGGCCACCAATGGTCATGTGATAGCAGATGTTTTTTGGGGGGGCAATACTGGGACAGCCATCAGCTGGGATAATGTTCATTTTTCTTATAATGACTGTATTGAAGTTACTAGCGCATCTGTTAAGACATGCAACACTAGTTCTACTTAATGCTTGCAAGTTTCTTTAATGTTTCAAAAAGTTATTTAAAATGTATGTTTTGTTTGTCTCCATGTCACTTCACAAAACTAGGCATGCCAGTGTTATTGTTCTTATTTTTCAGATGGGAACTGAGTCATCACAATGGCATGCAAGAATTGCATGGTAGATGTTGGAATTAAATACAAGTCTCCCAATGGATAATTGTGTCTCCCCTCCCCCCCAATCTAAACTGTCATTTAGGGTTTTTTGCTGGTTGTGTGTACAGTGGTACCTCGGGTTAAGAACTTAATTCGTTCCAGAGGTCCGTTCTTAACTTGAAACTGTTCTTAACCTGAGGCACCACTTTAGCTAATGGGGCCTCCCACTGCTGCCGCGCCGCCGGAGCACGATTTCTGTTCTCATCCTGAAGCAAAGTTCTTAACCTGAGGTACTATTTCTGGGTTAGCGAAGTCTGTAACCTGAAGTGTATGTAACCCAAGGTACCACTGTATACCATGCAAGCACGTTCAGTTTGGGGTATAGACAAGTGTTTCGAAGATGGCAGAATTTCTGAGTACAGTCGTACCTTGGATCCTGAATGCCTTGAAACTTGGATGTTTTGGCCCCCCGAATGCTGCAAATCCAGAAGTCATTGTTCTGGTTTGTGAACGTTCTTTTGGAACCCAAACGTCTGAAGCTGCAGTTTGGTTTTCGAACGTTTTGGAAGTCGAACGGACTTCCGGAATGGATTCGGTTCGACTTCCAAGG